CAGAGGCGACAGCGACTCTCGGTGCACGGCGGACTGACTGGGGAGTTCTACTTCTTCTGCACATTATACTTCACGATCACATTGGTTCCAAGAAGTGACGTAGAGGGTGTGACGGGAACACTATTGGTGGGTGATAGGAAGTGATATCAGTTGATAATATCTGATAAGAGGCCTCAGAAGGGGACTCTCACCATATTCGTAATGCGGATCACAGCATCAGCCAGGTGTTGATTCCAACATATGATGTAGGGTATGGGACAGGAACATTATTGGTGGATGACAAGAACTGTCAGCTGCTGATAAGATTCGAGGGATGTTAGAAGGGTATGGTCACTGAGTCCATCACGCGAGTCACAGCAACAGTAGGAGGTTGGTTCCAAGATACGATGTAGGGTTTAGGAAAGGAACACTAGGTTGGTGACAAAAACTGCCAGCATCTGATAAGATTGGATAAGGGGCGTCAGGCTCTTTCTTTTGATGTCATTAGAATTTCGGAAGTAACAAAGCACTGTATGTTGCACGATCCTCTGGCCAGATTCAACTTTAACCTGAGCTATTTTCAATTATTTTCCTACATTTTGCTGGAAAATGCACTGTGACGGTTACGGCGTATTTTGCACACTCTCTGGTATTTGATATTCGGCATATTCACCCCATCTACTATCTGTATTCGCTCCACTTTGCATTTCGGTAAAGGTTAGGTTCACACTTCTCGAACTTGTGGAAGTATAGACACCTGTGTGTGTTTTGAATGCAATTACACACATGGAATTCCAAAAAGCCGAATCAAAGAGAAAAAGTAAGCCGAAGGCGGGGCGTGTTACTTGTGATGTATTACGTTTAGTTGGTCAATAAAAGAGTTCAGTTCAGATGAGACTGGAATAAGTTGATGGAGAGGTCCCATTTAGTTATTATAGTTTTTGTTGACAACGAGTTTGACTCATCCTGCTTCACAATGAAATCCCTAGGAACTGCGTCAAGAAATGAGAAAAATTGCGTGGAAATCGCGAAAAGTTTATGAAGGTCCATAGACGTAATAGCAAGAACCTTCACAAGTGTGTATAGATAATGTGTTTTCTTGTCGATCATGAAGGCCTTATCAAACTGAAGATTCCAACGAACTCTTGAGCAACTAATCCTTCCCATACTGAAAGAAAACTGCGGAAGAAGCAAAAATTCAACATCTATGGACAGTGCTGCGTTGAATTGAATTGTTCAACACCACGCTGAAGCTTCCGACTGATAGGATTGTGCGCATTTTCATGACAAATTTGCTACTCGTAGCTGCGGTGCGAATGATCACTAGTTGATAGGAGCTGCTGTCGAGAAATATTTCGCCTTGCTGAAGTTGCGTGATGACAATCACCCTTACGCTCGGTTATTGATTCTGCCATTAGATGAATCCGCGCGACCTCGCTATGCCGTACATCCGAATATAATCGGGACTCTGCAATTCGAGAACATGCGTCAATTTCAGAGAGGACGATTTCAAAGTAAATCTCTGAAAGATAAGACTGTGAAAATAAACAGCGAGAGTTAGGGATCGAAGTGCCGCTAAGGCAACGTTCATACTTCGCGTGTCGATCGGCGCGATCGTCAGCCCCCCAACGCTATTACTTAAACGGCCCGCTTTGACAAACAAGGAAATCCAACTTATAATACATTTTTTCCCTTGATAATGGCTACTAGCTGGGAAGAGGACTTTATCTATCTTAGAGGATCTGGAATGTGAGGGAGGAGATGTTTCACCTTTCATTTATGCCGATTTTTATTGATTTCATTGTTCCAATTTATATAAGTGTCTTGAACTTTCCTACTGGCCAAACTGTTCGAACTTCCAAAACATTTATAGTTTACAAGTCGAGTTCAAACAACGAAAAAAAGAAACAGAAAACCTCACCTAGGAATCGAAACACTATTCTTTTATGCAACATCGAGGAGGAGGAAACTTCATAAGTTCATGTATAAGCTCGAAGAATGAAAAAGAAACAATAAGAAACTTACTCTAAATGAAGCCCTTGCTTTTTGCTCATTTCTATCCTGAATCAAAAAAGAAAATAGAAAAGAAAAGCCATTAAGTTTCATCCACCTTTCCTTGAGTCAAAACGAACTCTAGTATCTGAGCCAACTGCCATTAAAAAAACAGAAAATTGAGCCAATTCTTCCTAATAGCGTAATAACGTTGTTGCGCGCTCTGACGCGTACCCACGATCGCAGCGATCACCTAATATAAACGCAGCCTTAGGCCACGTTCACACTATGCTTCAGCCATTTGAGCGTTGAGCAGCGCTTTCAGCCACTGCCTGCGAAACACCTAAAACTAACGTACCCTCACAATACTAGATCAATATCTATGGTCGTGCGGAATGCTGCCGTATTTTGCTCGCCAAAGGTGAGTTACCAAAGTATGAACGCAGTCTAATGCGACTGTCTCCACCAACATTTAGCTCGCCCACAACCACCTCTGATCGTTGTAAAAGTCAATGTGAGAAGGGTGGTATTTCCGCTTGTAAGGAAGAGTTGGGAGTCGTAATTGCAGGGCTGGTGAAAAGTGAATGAGAGATAGTGGTGCTTTTGTCTTCCCTTGGAGCCGTAAGGATAATACCTCCATCCAAAGGCCAATTTTCACGCAGAAGTTACACCTTCCCATCACGTCGGTGTGGGAGCGAGATGCTGGTCAAAGTATTTCCTTTCCAATTTGATGATGTGTTCCGTACTTCCGAAGGAATTGAAGGTGCTCTGGTGACGGTCTTTGAGCCCAGCCCCGCTCATGGTGGGTAGGGTCGTATTGAGACCACTAGTGTGAGCGGAGAGGGGAGGGGGTGGTGTCGTATTGATGTGCTGCCTTCTGCAGCCCTGGATGGGAGTAGATTTGGAGATTGGGACAGGGTACAGATTTGGGTGTCCTATGCTATGCTCTTACCGCTATCGACATCATGTACGGCCGCTAAAGCAACTGGAGTTCAGTCATGACGATTGATTTACTCAGTTGCCATGAACTGCAGCAACTAACTTTATCACTATGACCATGATTATCTTCCATCAACAACCCGAGAGAGGACCATTCGAAGCGCAAGACTGCCGAATGCGGGAGTGCATTCCAGAAAAAACCCTACAGTGGTGGAGAACGCATTGAGCGGTAGGATCTTCCCCCAAAAACGCTGCTCTTAACCAGGTCACTGAATTTTTGTGTGAGGTTATGGAGATTTTGGTTAACTAAGTCTCAAGAAAAGACATGCGCCAAAAGAATAGATTCACAGCGTTCACGATTTGGGGCAACGGTTGCATTCTTCATATAAAAATCGACTATGTCAGGGTGTGCTGTCTTGGTGTCGCTGTCTCTGGTCTTTTGACACGAAATCATAGCGCCGTCCCGGTAGCAGCGAGCATATTACGTGCCGATTCCTGCCGGTCACTCCGATTGTGGGGCACCCAATTGTCGAGTTTTTTCACCTTCCCAATGCGTTCCAGACCATCTGCAACAGTGGATTTGCCAAGGCCTAGCTCTTCTGCTATCTCTCGAACTGTTTGGGATGGGTCAGCCTCCAAAATCCCCCTAAAATCCTCGTCAGATATTGCTTTAGGTCGACCGCTATGAGGTTCATCTTCAAGGCTGAAATCTCCAGAACGAAATTTGTTGAGCCATTGCCGCACAGTGCTTTCTCTAGCACTATTGGGCCCCCACACCTGGTTAATTTGTTGAGCTGTTTCGATTGCGGATTGCCCCAATTTATAGTCGAAGAAAAAAATCGTCCGAAGTGCTCTTTTCACATGCTTGAAAAAAAAGGGGGTTTATCAAGCAATGGTGAAACGGCAATTATACCATCAGATAGCGCAAGAAATTCTCTACAGGATGTGCTACTGAGAAGCAAGGCAGAATGAGTTTTTAATCAGCAGTGAATGTACAAAAAATAGGTGCACAAAACGCTGAGAACTTTCCGGACAACCTAATAGAATGCTGCCGCATACCACAAAGAGGTTGCAACGGCGAAGGCTTTATATTCATCTTTTTATTCTCAATACTGGTTCACCTGCACCTAGCAAGACGAAATTGATTAAGTAACAATTGAATGAAATGTTTACAATGCAGAAGCTGCAAGCTTGTGGTGGAAATGTGTCAGTTTTCATACTAGCGATGTTGTGCTGGTTGCTTTACACGTTCCAGCCCAAAGGATACGAGATTCGTGAACAGAAAGTCAAGCCATTCCATTGCACTATGTTCCACCCGAAGCAAGAGGCTAGTTCGCCCATCTATCACCTGAAAAAGAATCACTGATGATCAGAATTATTACTAGGCTGAAAAACTGAATAAATTAGGATTGTTGAGACCCTTCTAATACGATCCTCTCTTTTCAGCGATTCAAGTAAGATCAGTCTCTCGGGGAGGAACAATACCCTCGAACTTTCTCCATGACAGATGTCGGCCGTTCTACCTAATGCTAGCGAATATAAGAAAATGATGCAGCCTTGTAAAAAGAAGTGTCGTAAGAGAAAAATCATGGGTAATTACGCCTTATTTGATCACACATCACATCACGTGATGAGCTTGGTGCAGGAACACATAAAATGAGCGGGCAAAAAAGGTTTGACTGCATACTTAGAAACAGTAAATCGCAAGAAAGCGCCCGGAATTCGCGAGCGCACTCGCACTGTATCCTCTTATGTCGGTGAGCTAGTGAACTAGTGAAATCTGTGGAGTTGCTACAGCCAGTTTACAAGTTTTCAATGTGATGGGCTAGAGAGAAACCTCACCTGATTCGAAAAAATGAGCCTAATGAATGCACTCTGTTTACATGTTAGATTTAACACTACTACCTTGCAGAGCTTTTTCTCATCGTCACATAGGTAGCCCTTGGAACATTTGGAGCATGGTAATCCATCTTTATAGAGAGGTTGGCCATCCAAAACTTTCCTAAAAGGAATTTCGATTGCCTTGACACTGTATATCCTAAGAGCTAAGCAACTTACTCGTTGTACACACAATAAAAAGCATAATATTCGTCATTTGTCCCAGTTTCATTACAGAACTCCAGTGCACAGCCTACGCTTCGTGTCTTCGCGTTGGCCATCTGGAAATTCGGGTTCATTTGAACAACCAGAATGACGTAGCGAAAAATGTCTCATTTTCCTAGTTCTCTTCGGCTGGGCGGAAACCCGATTTCTGGTTTTCTACGAAACTTTTAGGTTTGAGCTATTTCTTCGAAAAGAGTGCTAATTGTAAGTCCGATCTTTTTCGGACGTGAGGGTTTCAGGACATTTCCTCACAGACAGGGCTTCCGGTGTGGTGAAGATCTTTCGACCTCAGACACTCAAGCACTCCACACAAAAGGAAGGGAGGAAATGTGAAAAGGGAAAAGGGAATCGAAATAGGTAAAATAAAAATGTGAGGGTTGGAGGAGTAATGAGGGGAAAACCGTGTGTCATCTCTTGGAAGCTGATTTCGTATTCCGAAGAATCCTGCCGTAGAGCAGAACTTGCCAGAGGACCTTTTTCCCACCCATAACTTTGTTTAGAATCGAGTTTTTAGAAAGGCAGAATCGGGATCGCAATGTAGTTAACAGGTCCTTCGAGAAATGAGCTAAATATTTCTAAGGTTCAGGTCCTCGCATCCTAAGAAATCCCGCTGTTCTGAAATGTTTGTGTAGAAAGTGACTCACATAGAAGTGTTTGCGGACGCTCAATTTATCTATTGAATGATCTGTGAAACACGCGGGGACTTTCTAGGAAAGGAGATCATACTATTCAGGGCTGCAAAAATTTTCTCGGTGTCAAGTTGTTGCGTAGATTTCCGCGACACTCGAAAAGTCCAGCTGCGTTGTATTCTGAATTCGTTTGAAGGCTTGAAGCCACGGTCAATAAACTAAGGCTAGAACCTGTTTAAAGAGTATCATGATCAAGAAAACTGCGGAGGCTGTGAAATGGTGAAAACTGATAAGCAAAGATTTCAGGTCCATAGGCGCCCGTAGGCAGAGGCCACCTTACTTGCCCGTGTCATTTTAGCGATGCGCACTCGTAGTTTTGGTCGCTCCCCTCTCTTGCTAGTGTATGGTGCCTTTTTCAGATCACAGTTGAACTTGACCATCTTATCCTCGTTTCGTGGCCACGACCAATAGCAGTCATAGGGTGTCATTGAGGGCGGTATTCCGTGCTTCCTTCTTTTTCAGTAAGTCACTAGCACACGGCAATCCTATTTTTGAACTGTATTATCTACGAGGACGTGCAATACCAGGAATTGCCTTTGAGTGTGCTCCTGGAACACATCTCCTTGTCAAAGTAAAAAAAATAAGTAAGACCGATAACATGGACTGAGTTCTCCTCTGCATTGCGCCATGCACCCGACTCCCACGTAGATGCAGTAGACGAAGGTTTTCACGCAGGGCCTTTACGACCCTAACACCCTAAAGTGGGGTGATGCGAACCCCTCTTTATGTTTTGCACAATAGATATCGTGTTCTTTTCGGTATTGGCTCTCCTTTACTCCAAATGGGTTTCGACCAGAGATATTGTACATGTATGCACTTCAATCAACTCGCATGAGCGTACGGTTTTGCGCTTCCTTCAAAGTTGTTGAGAACTGCAGCAGGATCATAATTTGAGTCAAGCAGTACAATATAGAAAACTAACCATTAAGAACGGCAGCATAGGGTAGTCTTTCTTTTCAATCATAAATTCATCAAATTCATGATGGCCATGCGAGTGTTCAGCCCACCAATGTTGCAATGCCTTAAAGGTAGCTGTGAAAATGTGCGAAGTGGGGCGAATGCATTGAAATCTGCTCTTGGACTACCTGAGTTATTGCTTCTTT